AATGTGTTCATGAATGAGCATGTGTCACCTCCAGACTGATAGTGTTACCGTAGCAGTTTGTCACTGCTGGAAGCAGTAGCTCTACTTTTTTACCTAAAGTTCTCATCAAACCTACACTGCAGCAAAATGCAAACGTGTCTGTATATATAGCCTATAAGTATAAAAAGTAAAAGTACTCACAATAAGGAATGTGGGCAGTAAAATCCTCTGTCACTGTATATTTTAGATCATGATATTGATACAGTATCTGTGATTGCTACAGTAACCAATCAACTCTAGATTTTCATGGCTTGAAACCTTCCTGCAGTCTCCTACTACTGCACAGGGGCACTCAGCTGTACTTCAATAAAGATTAGGGTCTTGCCAGAGATACCAACCAGGAATACCAACTATGGCTAGTAAACTGGTTTTGATACAGTATGTGAAGTCACTGCAGCGCTCCTTTAAAAAAGAAAATAATTGCTGCTATGGTATAGCATAGTATAATGGTGAAGGAAGTCTCTCATAGTAGACAAAACTATCTCTGAATGTGTTGGCTCCATGTGTGAATAAGCACCTTGGTCACTAGGTCAGTACTAGCATCATTTACATGTCACTTTGAGTCTGAACTGCGTGCGCAAGATTACGATCTACTGACATAACGTGTTATTAGTTAGTGGGTCTACCAATCATGACAGTCTAGGAAGTGATGCTTTAAATGCTGCGACCTAATCCCGGACTCTTTGTTTGGGCTCTTGGAGAACACCCTAAACAACAACAACATGAGAAAAAAGTTTCTCTTGGAACTCATTCACATTCATCTGCCGGGTTTTGGCATGGTATGGTATCTCTGTCACGGTTGTGGACATGTCTGAATGAAGCTGTAAAGAACATTAACGTAAAAGTGACCTATCACCGAAAGCCATCTCTTACCAGATTGACTAAGCCAGCAATGTTACGTATCCCATGTCTGAAAAGGGCTCTTTGCCTTTTAGAAATATGCAACAGGATATGGTTCTTTTTGAAGGCCATGCATGCATGCATGGACTTTTTGAATCATATTTATGCCTTTCTAAAGTGTCAGGAGGCTTTTTTCATCCCAGTGTGACAGAAGTTTAATTGTACCATTTCCCCCTCCCGAATGGTGGTCTTTGTAACAGGATGGCGCTGGACGGGATCCGGATGCCTGATGGCTGCTACGCTGATGGGACATGGGAACTGAAGATGCATGTCACGGACCTCCACAGGGACGTGTCGCTGAGGGTCACTGGGGAAATCCACATCGGCGGAGTCATGCTCAAACTAGTGGAGAAACTAGGTATGCATGCATGCTGCTGTCATGCAGGGGCCAGAGCAGAGTTTACATCAGTTTATCTAAAGTGTTATAAACAGGCTTGAATGCTCTTAGCTGACTCATGAAAGAAATGAGAGCAGTCCACTATGAGTCTACAGATTTAACATGCATTCATTTGTAATAGTGTGGAAGTAGCTCTGTTTAGCAGGAATTTTTTCCTTTAACCTCTCACCCTGTACCATCATTCCAAATCAGAATTTCTCTGTTATCTGTTCATATTTGTTGTATGCATCAAACCAGCAAAAATGATTTATACTCGAACCAACTGATTCCTAACAGAATCTCTTATAATCGACCCCTGGGTTCTCTTTAACAGTTATAGCTGCTGAGTTGTGATTACTACAGCCAATAGGAACAAAGCACATGCGTCCTTGAAGAACATATGACCAGCAATATAAAGAAACCATACACAGCTGCAGTCTGCAATATGTTCTGTAAATGCAGTTATGCTCTTGACAGTTTGGGTGTAAGGAAGCACAAGAGTCCTCTGTTCCAGCCACTTGAACACTGCCCTGTTTCATGGAGGCTGGAGAGAGGTCAGTGGTGGTGACAGTGTGATTTGGGA